GACCGGGGACAGGGGCCTTCGAGAACGTCGACGAAGACAAATGACGGTAGACGAGGAAGACGACGAATTCACATGTGATTGCGGCTTCGAATGCGAAGACCGTGTTCATGTAGTCGCGGGATGTCCGTGGTACAAGAAGGAGAGGGAAGTGTACGTGACTGAGCTGGGATAAATAGATGGGACGTACAGGGAGATGTTTGAGGCACGGAATAGAGAGGAAAGGACGGTAGCTGTACTGGGGCATAGGAGGTGGGTTGAAAAGGCGGGAAGGGATATCGTTAGGATGGACAGACTAGGGAAGACATTTTTGAGCCACCTTTGGCAAAGTAGAAAGGTACGATTGGCCATCGGTGATCGGTCCTGTGGGAACAATGCTCCGTCCTCTCGAGGACGCGTGGTCAATGGTCTAGCCGCTAAGGCATGCAAAACATAAGAGTACGCCCCATCCCCCCCCTGCCAAAATCCTCCCCCAACCGCTCGGTGGTTCAAACACGGAGCACCACAGCCTCTCACTGCAGACCTCCGCCATCTTCTGCATCCTGAGACCATTGTTCTTCCGATGCTCAAAGACTAGGGTGTATCCGGGGCCCCCGCGATATGCCTCACCTTGGAAGACATGCTTTCCCCGGTGGTTCCCGTCCGGTTCTCAATCGCGCCGCCTCCCTTCGGCACCGGTACATCTGGGGCAACCCCCCCACCCCCGGCTTCCATATCGCTCATCTTTCGAGTCGACGGTGCCCCTTGAGCGTCCTGTTGGTATTGGTCCTGTTGCACGTTCACCGGCAAGAGTCAGAGACGGTAGGCAGTGTTGGCCGTGAGGCACGATTGGGTGCAATCGCAGCAGCAACATGCAGTCTGTCTTTCCTTTATCCATTATTGTCAAGCAACATACCGTCGTAGTAAACGTGATTCTTTGCCTGCCAGAGACTGACGAAAGGTCGGTGGGCAAACGCTACATAGCTGCCCCCCCTTGCCCTCCGAAGGTAGAGGCGAAACCGTCGATGTTTTGGGGATGTATTGCAACGCAGAGGCAACAAATCAACCAGCCTCATGTTGTCCACAACCCACAAGTTAACATGGCATGTCCCATACTTGTTATCGTTGTGTGCTGTTGTCATCAAAATGGTGCGTGAGGAGGGCGCGGGTTTCCTGCGAAACGGGAGAGCCAGAGACAGAGGCTGTGTGCGCCGTGGGAACCGGGCTATTTTTCCCCTCGCAATCCTCTGCTTGTGCAACTTGTGGTATGGTATGCATGCGATTCATACTTGTTTGCGGTTCCCTCAGGGGTGGCCCATGCTTGGGTACCCTACAGCTTGATTTCAAGAACCAAATGAAGACACAGTAGCTGGTCACTAACGGTTGGCGGTACTTGCGTAATAGACCTGTAGACTTATTTCCTAAGTGCTGAGGGCGCACGAGCTTGCAGGATTGGCAATCCTGATCCTCTCGTGGCTCTACACGTAGACCTGCATACTTACGGTTTATGGTACACGACGTACATGTGGGAAGATCTCCACTTTCGACCACTACCTGGTGCTCTGTTTTTCAACTCCACGTTGAGTTGCCGACGGGAGGGGATTAGTTAGCCCCTGGAGGGCATCCCCTCACAAGGATAGCGAGAGAACGGCGGTCGAGCGGCGAAATGCGTGGTATTCTATACGCCAAAAGTGCCATGAAGCCTGAAACGCGAGATGTATACAGAATGTGCCGCGACTTGAGTAGAACCTGGCATACGAGCAATCTAGGCCGTAAAAATTTCAACAGTAGGGCTCGTTTGTGATGCCTGGAAAAAACTTTCATACAGAAACCTAGTTATGGGCTGTTGATAACCTGCAGAAGAAACAAGCACCCGAGGCTCGGCCAAAAAAGGCAGTTGTTCAGTCGTGTTATTCTGTATGCTTAAGTGCTCATGCGCAAAGTGAGGAGTCAGGGAATTTAATGTCACTACATGAGAAGTATGTCCCCATGCACGAGACTACCGTTGCCAATCACAGCGGCCGCTGGCAAAGCAAAAACTTAATCCATCCCAAACCATATTGTACCTGACGGACAGGGAAAAACGGTAGGTCTTCACGAAGAAATCGAATCTCGTTAAACAGTTCGACATGAGAATACAAGAGTCTACCCGAATCCAAACGAAAACGGCCTGTGTGTAGAAACGGGAGATCTGCTAAATGGAAAGTCCACCGCAAACATCCCGAGAGGTCCGCCGTTTGCCATCTACCAGATTGCTGTTATGACGTGGCCACACCACATGGGGAGCTATCGCTCCTGAGAAGCACACACCAATCGCCTACATGGCCTCTGTGCGGTACTGACACGATGTCTGTGAATGTGAGACTTTGAATGAATCGAGCCTCGTCCGACGGAAAGTCACCATTTGGCTGTGCCTTTGAGGTTCGACAACCCACGGGACAAAGTCCCACAGACCAACACACCCCACCCTCGTTTTTTTCGGCGCCAGTCACGTGCAACAACGATGCGCAGTGCCTGGACGAGGCCGGTGTTGGCCTTCCGGAAGGACGGGGGCACCGACAGTATCGGCTGGGGCAGATGTAGTCTCGAGGGATCTTGGTATCCGTGACACCGCCGAATTGTGGCGTAATGGCCTGCGGTAGTTCTCTTGGTTATGAGCGTGAAAGGTGAGTCGTTGATGTTCGATGCAGCTGAATACGTCGATGAGAAATTTCTTCACCACAGGACCTTTCCCGTACCAACAACTGTGATACCCATTGTGCGGGGGTGATCTTATTCCCAGTTGTGCTTGTCATGACAACGTGCAGCCGGATGCCCTGCCTTGTGGGAAAAGCAATGGTAACATTAACCACAAGTAGTCCTTGTCGTAAGCGGACATAGATGATGTTTTTCTCGCCGGTGAGTGTCCTGGTCATTGCTGCTCTGTCACGTCGAATGGCCCCTTGAGCGCGTGTGTCGACGGCCATTATTTCCGCAGAAAGAGCATCAGGTGACAAAAACGCCAAGAAGTTGGGTATCGTTTTGGATCGAGGCCTAAGGCGACAGGCGAAGAAAAAGATGAGTTGATTCTTCGAATTTTGGCGAGCGAGTGTTTTCTTGCAGAAAAATGTATTGCAATGCAGACAATACATTTCTGATGATATTACGACCATTGTGTAACCACGCTAGTTTTTTCTGAGGAGGGAAATGAAATAGATATTGATGAAACATGTACAATTGTTTGGTATCAACAGAAAGGAAGTAGAGCTGAATGTAACTCTGTTTGTTCCACATCGCACGCACCGGTTGCTCTTTACAGCTGTAAGGCGGCCAATATACGGCGAAATCTGTTGAAAAGTCGTCCGTATCTTTGTTATGATGGCTTCATCGAGTTCACCGTAGCCGTAGTTGGGATCGTGCAGTAGCCATTGAACGTTAGAATGCGAGCTTTCCCTCACTGAGTGGTACGTCCTGCAATTTACCCGGGGATGGAAAGGGCAACGTCGATGTTTAATTTTCAACAAGAATCAACTCTTTAGCAAGCAACGTTGTAGGTCGATTGGCGAAACGCGCGGTGTCACGACATACATACGTTGAAGATGCAAACTACTGTGGACGGTAGTAGTACTAATGGAAAGTAGAAATAAAGCACGGTACCTTACTCTCCTTGGACGGACAAGAGATAGTCACCAAGCATCCGTTTAGTTCTCGGTCTTCGACATTCATTGACCCGAAGTTGGGACGGCAATTGTACGCCCGGGATTCTTTGCGGAAATTTTGTGCGGATGGATCAGCGGATGTAATGTGTAGAGGCCTTGGAGAATGGGTGGCAGGGAGGGGTGGTGGTTGTGGAAGAACGCACTTCCCATTTTTGCAGCATATCCCTGTCCCTCCTTGGCGAATAGCATAGCTCCACAATGTGTGCAAGGATCAGCGCGTTCCGCCGTTATCCCCATTTCGTTGCGCGCACAAAGGAGTGCTTCATGTCACTGGGTAATGACGGTGTTCAGACGCTATATATCTCCTCGCGAAAGCATGATGTTGTGGATCGTCGATGTACTGTAGTTCCTCGAGAGCGTTGCGAACTCAAAATGTCGTCCAGACGATCCCTCTTCGCCGCAAAAATAACAGATCTGCGCTTTTTCTGATGGGTTTGACGCTTCCTGTTGGAGGATGGCTTGGGCTGGGTGGCTCTGCGTCGTGTCCCCGTGTTCATGGCAGCACTACAATATTGTTCGGTTGTCGTGCGCGTAGCCTCTTCGCATTTCCAATTTGTTCCGAGCATGATATGCGCGATTTTGGTCGTTCTCGTTCTTGCGCAAATCGATGCTGTTCATTCATTGTTTGTTTGTCCTCTTCGGTTGTCGTTTGTCCGTCCGAACAGTAAAACCTAGCTCGGAGATGTCGAAGTGTAGTGAAGATGTCTTTGACAGTGATGGTTGCGATAATAGTGCAGAACTCTAGTTTCGTCATCTACGGTACATTTGAAGTGTGATGGGTGCATGTTACGTGGGACGGCAGGTGCTTGGAAAAGCATCATCAGTGCGTTGACATGTCTGGACGCTGCGCACGTCGACGAGTTACCATTATCTGCAGTGACAACCACAAATAAGGTCGCAATACCCGCCTGCTGCACCGCAGAGGGACGGAAGGAGGTGCGCATCATACACAGTCTCGTGAATCGCGTATCTGGTGTGCCTCGACGCTGAATTGTTGTTGTGCATATCGCACGCTACATAGCGCATTACCAGTAGTGTACGCAGCAAAATTGACTAAGCAAACATGTGGGATAAAGTATTCAATCCGTGCTTTTGGGTTAGGGTTAGGGTTAGGGATAGGGTCTGCGTGCCCCCTCCCTATTCTTTTTCTAGATACTCTTTAAATCCTGCGTAGGCGGTCGCGCATCACATACTACAGCAGTATGTCCTGTGCGGTTCAGCCCCGGGACCTGCAATGACGCACCGGCAGAACGGCACATGTTCGCTGTACAGCAGTGGGAATCTGTGTGGATCGCGCAATTACCGTTTTAACGTCAACACAGACCTCGGGTTTTGTACTACACGCATGCTAACTTAACAAGAGAGTTCTGTGGATGTTGCGGTTCATAACCAAACTTGAATGTGAATTCGAGGTTTGATTTCTTCCTTAAGACCAGCCCTATCGTAGATTCCACGCCAACTTAGACGCAGCGTCATCATTCGCGGGACGAATAAACGGAGCGAAAAGCCGATGGAGGCGGGGAAATACGGAGAAATTACTGTAAGCGGGAATATAGGCGGGGGATAACGTGTGGACGGCCCTCTCGTCTCCGTCGTTTGATGGCAAGACGTTGAAATACCACCTTCGAACCGACTCGGCGTTCCAGGAGCGCGGGCATGCCACACCATGAACATACAACATATCCGAATTGCACCAACTCAGATCCTCATGGATGTCGTGCGTATGAAATCCAGATCTTGATCCGTCAAAACGAGGATTTTGTTTGCACCATGCTGGCACGCCGAATAACAAAAAAAAAATGTTTCGCGCGCGAACGCGCGAAAAAGATCGAGCGATTCAAGGGGCATCAACTCATTTGCCCTCCCTGCCAATCGAGTCAAATCGCTTGGCTATGAAGAGCCAATCTAGAGATAATGGCCTGAACAGGTAGCAGTGTAGATCCAGAGCGTGAGGAGCCTGGCTCCTCTCTATTAAAAAAAAGGTGGTTTGATAATTCCGTCTTCCGCATCGAACACCAGCCCAAGCTGAGCTAACGTGCTACGCCAATTCGCCGAGTTAGCCCCAAAATCCTGCTCTCTTTCGCATATTGAGGACACATGCCATGGGTCAACTTAACACTAAACCCAAACAAAGGGGCAGACGTTCGTGACGTGCACGCGTAAACACAACACAAACACAACCGATCGTGGAAAGACAGAAGAGAGTCAGCGCGGCTTGCAGCAAAAACAGGAGCAGCAGACCCTACAGCATCCCACGCGGCAGGTCCACAGTTCATGGTGTGTACACAAATCGCTGCTTTCTTACCGCACCATACCGTCGTTCCGCTACTGCTGCACTACCGCACCGAAGAATGTCACCCACTGAAGGCAATGTGTGGTGTGTTACAGATGTGTGATGCGGGACGATGACTCACACCAACACAGCTCGGAAGTCCGAACTCGGAATCGTATCGCTGGCTTCAACGAAGGTGCGTCCTCGCAACCACCCATGAATGCCTGGGTAGCTGAGGCCGCGGTCACTACGATCCACCGAGGTGACATACACATGTTTAGGATACCATCCTTCTTGCACATTCCAGCTGGATATGGAAGCAGCTGCTGTGATCGCCTCCGTTTCTTGAGGATCCTGCCTTCGTTGGCGGCTTGGAGGGTGCACGTTGTGCACGCTTGCCACCTCACGTACCTACAGCAGAGGCCCGTTACCATTGCAGTCTACACAGCGCACGAGACTGAGGCCAACAGAGCCAACCAACCCCCCCACCAAGCAGCCAGATACCAACGCACGACGGCCTGGGTTAACTGATTCCATACTAAGCGTCGGACCCCGAAATAAAGTACGTTTGTATGCTATGTACGAACCCCGAAAAAAGTACGGTTGTGCGCCATGGGGTGCATACGCTATTTATGTTCTCTCACCGTGTTGTTGCTTTGGACGAAGCTTCCCCTCCCGCGTCCGGATCGACGTGCTGCACCGTGGGTACTACTGCGTCTACTGTTGGATCGGTTGTGGATATGGAGAGGGAAGAGAGAGGGAGAGAGATTGGGGGGAGAGAGAGGGAGAGGCAAGGCGGTGTGTGAACCAGTTGTTCAACAGCGAGGTGCCGCGGGAAGAGCGGGGATAGCGGCGAAATAACATGTGTAGCAGATGGAACTCTTCCCGCTAAAAGTCCCGTAGTCCTGTGGGAGATGTCGGAGATCCGATGTTTAGGTCAAGTTTCGCTTCGACAATAAATGAGGTGCCATTCTGATCGTCGCGAGACCTTGCTGTGCGCAATATATCGGGATGGTGCAGGGGGTATAAACCGTCATTCGTTGACTGCAGTCGGGCAGTAACAGCAGTATACTGCTGTGCAGCAGGCATGCCGGCTCCTCCGGCTTACGAGTTCTCGTCACAGCCAAGGCCGGTCAAGACGAGGCCACATAAAAAACAGCAGTTTCGACAAGACGTAGTTGGAAGCGGTGGCAGCGGCAAAGGAAACGCAGGGGCCCGCTACGATCCGTTTTTCTCTATTAACATCCACCACGACCCGCGGGTTGCGAGGGGCATCACGTTTGCCGGTGACAGGCGGGATGCGCGACCGTCTGGTGAGAGTTCAAATATTGTTTCCTGTGAACTGCTGTAGGTCCAAGGTGTTCTTAGTCCTGCGAAAGTGGTTTACGCGAACGCTTGTAAGGCTATTTCACGACGGCTACATACCTTGTTGTGTGTTTGGGTACAACGGGGGCGAGCCTGGCCGGCGAACACTCGGGATGGAATATTGCTGAACAGAGGTGGGATTGCGGAGGATAAAGTCTTGTTCACGAGTGTTGGAATGGAGCAGCATACCACACAGGTATTCACAGGTGTAGTTTACACGATTGTGGTGCGTGTCGTGACCTTGAGCCCACTCACACACCGAAGGATACTTTAGCCTCCCCCATGCTGCTCCCTCACGGGGTCCCAGTTCATGGTAGATAGAAGTGTTTTGTGTTTTCAACCGCACTAAGACTGACGTCTTTTCATTGGTCAGCCGGTTAGCGCGGTCGATGCTAATAATAAAAACACACACGTTTGCACAGCCACTGTGGGGAAATTATATGGCCGGTGTAGACTATGTGTACATGTCCGGCGTTGAATAGATACAAGCTTTCTTGGGTAATGCTCTTTGATTCTTCCTGTCTTGCCTTAGACTAGGCCTCGAGTGTTTAGTGGGAGCGAAGGCTGTATACACCGAGCAGATGCGCACTCAACCACATCCATCCTGCCTGTGTTTGGATTGTGACCAATGTCCTTGGAGTTGCATCTGGCCGTCATGATAGGACATCGGATGCTGCAGAGTAGTACATAGTCAATGCATACAAGTTCGCAAGCTCCTAGGTTGTGGGCTTCCACAGAAGTGAAATGTCATCAATCAATATCAGACCTTTTTCCCTGGGTGAAAATGCTGAGCGAATCCAACACTTGAGCAAAGGCTGGCAACATCCGGTGTGCAACACCCTCCCAAAATACCCAAACGGTATGCCCAAACGGTGAGTACTTACACGGTGAGAACCAGTCCACCTTTCGGCTGCTTTAAACATGTTGCCTCGTCCATTTGTCCGTCCCCATGTATCACCGCACATCAGAACCAGGACTGAAGACAGTGGCGAAGAAAAGCAGAAAACGTCTCGGGCAAAGCCGATCAAGGGGCTCGTCGTCGTCGTTCTTCGACACGAGAGCCAGCCAACCGGTTCTCAGAGAAGAGCTAGACCTCTCCAGGTGTGCAACTTATCGACCAAAGCGGGTCAGAACGGACTAGCTCTCATTCAAAGCAACAGGTTGTATGGGCTGCTTGGTGAAGTGCGCTTTTAGCGACGTACGAACGTGCATCGTGCCCGGGTTTTCGTGAACTGCGTACGTAGTGTCGTCAGGCGTAGGTTCTTCCACGTACCGCCATTTTTTCCATCAACATAACTACCACTCGGTTTAATCGATGACAGGTATCTCGTCGAACCGGGGGATACCGCCGCTCGACCAGAGCGTGAGGCGGACACCCAAACCGACGACTTTCAGGAGAGGCCACAGACCCCAGACTTCGTACCCAAAAAGACGGGCGTGGATGCTTGGACTCAAATAGAGGTGTCTGACAAGCTGTTCGACTTCGAAGCGGAGGTCCAGCCCATGTTGGCAGTCTTGGTTGGGAAGGTAAGAGGTATACTTAATTTTTTATGATCATTGACAAGAATCGCGTTGCCACTGCTGTTCTGTTGTTCGGCAGCTTGGTTGTCCTTTCTGTCGCTAGACAATATCACCCCCTTTGGCGGCAAGTGGAGGTCCGTAGCCTTCGTTGTTCTGGTAGCCGTGCGGTTGTCGTGCGCTCCGGTCCTTGCAAAAGGACCCATGCCCGGAGCGCGAGTACCCCTTTCCGACTTTCCTGTCCGATAGGAGTCTCGGACGGCGTCTCTTCCCCCTGCCTCGCTAACTCTTGGAGTATCATCGCTTGATCTTTTCCTCGCATGTCATTAGACTCTGGAGCAAGCACGAATAGAGGTTGAACGTGAGCACGAGCTGCTTTGCATTCGGGAGGCGGCGACCGCTCTTGTCCACCAGCGGGCGGAAGAAGCGCAGCAGGTGCTGGAGCTCAAGCAGGCGGCGGTGGAGGCGGAGAAGAAGAAGGAGGAGCTACGCCGGCGGCAGAGGGAAGAGGCGAACCACCGACGCTTGGCGAAGGAGAAGGTGGCGTGCCTGCAGCTGGTGCGACAGGTGTTGCCGCTCTCGCTGGATCGCGCGTTCGAGCAGCTGAGCGCGAAGTCGTGGCAGACGCAAAGCGTCCAACAGGTGGGGGACGATCCTGTCGAAATGCTGCACTTGCATTCTTCTTTCCCGCTAGCCCTGATAACCACGCCTCGTAGTCACCTCGTCTAGGCTACCATCTAGGCTACATTCATGTGCCACACTTAAATCATCGTCGGGTCTCAATTATACCACCAAGAAGGGAGTTTTGATTGTGTAGTGTGTGGCCCAACAAACTTTCTTACCGCACAAAACAAACGACAACGACGATGAATTTATCGCGATCGCCCCCCGGCAGATCAAAAAGGTATTCTTGCCGTGGCTCTTCGGACGGGTCGCAGCCGACCTAGGTCAGCGTTCCTCCGTGCTCGACGCCCTGGGCAGCTTGCTCGAGTCCGTCGACGAAACGGCCGAGACTGCCAGGATTCAACGGATACAAGACAGGGACCGAGAGGCGGAGACCCGCAGGGAGGCTGCCCGCGAGGCGCGCGAACGGGTGATCAGGCTGTTTGTACCTGGGGAGGTGGTCGGGGGAGAGGAAGGCGAACGGCTCGGCCCCGTCGCCGTAAAAGCGGGAGAGACGGTCAAGGCTGCGGAGGCCAAGGTGGCCAGCTGGCTCGCCATAGAAAGAGAAACGGAGGAGCTTGAGATTCCGCAGGGGGGTTTCCTAGGAGGTTACCTGCGAGAGGCGAGGAGGAAGGGGGGTGGTCGTCGGGTAGGGCAGGGGTCTATGCTCCTTGACTTGCAGGCGATGTTGGGCGCGCCGAGTGACGAAGTCGTCCTCCGAAGCAACTTCGAGGGGACGCAGTAGGGATCGAGTGCGACGTGTGGGGCAACCGATAGAAATTTCAAACCCTGCTCGACAAGGTGGGGCTACTGTAGCACAAGCTCTCGAACGGTGTACCAATGATAAGTGTTGGTCACGTCCTTTAACCCCTTTGGGTCTACCTCTTTTTTTTTTTGCGGCAAAAAATAAAGGGAGGAGAGACTGCGGGGAGAGACAGAAGTACAGCAGAGAGAAGACGAGTGTACTTCTGTAGACGCAACAACTATCTCCACCGATAGGCCATGAGGGCTGCCCGCGACAGGACGGTGGACACAGACAAGATCATAGAAGGGTTGATGCGTGGTCGCGGTGCGGCCAGTAGCGCAGTTTAGGCTTGTAGACCTCGAAAACATCAGTCGTCAAGCCGCCTGAACTACTCTATCTTCAGTATATTCAAATGATCAGTGAAAATGATCATTGAGAGGGCTTGTAGACCCATNACTATCTCCACCGATAGGCCATGAGGGCTGCCCGCGACAGGACGGTGGACACAGACAAGATCATAGAAGGGTTGATGCGTGGTCGCGGTGCGGCCAGTAGCGCAGTTTAGGCTTGTAGACCTCGAAAACATCAGTCGTCAAGCCGCCTGAACTACTCTATCTTCAGTATATTCAAATGATCAGTGAAAATGATCATTGAGAGGGCTTGTAGACCCATAGCTGGTTCTTGTACTTCTTGTCTTCTCTGTCCCCTCCCCAATGTGAGCCCTGCCGGCTCACTACACCTCCTGTGATTGTCCCACAATTCCCACAAGCACGCAAGCACACACCAGCACACACCTACCTTTGCATCAGTGGCTCTTTAGGTTCGGGCGAGGGTATGTGTGGGGCCATGCTGATAGTGTATGTGTTACTAACTACTCTGCTGTGATTGTTGGACTCGTCTATACGGCTGCTGCTGTGTAGAATAGCCGCTGACACTGTGCTGGATCTTGGGAGTGAACGATTTTCGAATTTGGAGGATATGCAGCATACCACGATATCCTGGCCTGTTTGGGCTTGAAGTGCCCCTTTTCGCTGTCCTCCTGTCTTTGCTGTAGTGGCTTCCTAGATTCGGGCGAGGGCATGTATGTGGAGCTATTAATGTGTGGCTCTGTGAAAGTATATGGGGAGAGATTCATGGTGGTATTCGCATTTAGAGCAGTGTGCATTTATTTAAATTTTGACCGTTCCAGGGACCTTGATATTTCCCGCCGGCACCAACGTCTTTTCATTGGCCACCGGGTAGCGCGGTCCATGCGAATAATAAAGACACACCTACCTATTGACTTGCCAACACCTGGCTTGGAGAGATACAGGGCGGCAACTCCATGGCATGCCACAACACCAGCGTTTACAAATGATCAATCAATGATCTGTCAAGACGCCTGTAGACCCAAAAGGGTTAACAGTTTGGCATGAGGCCCGACCGAAACCGTATCCGACGATCTGAAGTCATCGAACGTATTCAGTACCGCGCATATGGAATAACAGGTTTTCCTACAATGACAACTCTCAGCGTTTTGCTTGCTGCCACCATTCGGTGTAAGGACTGACTGGAAACGTGTCACGAAGATGTTTCCACGACGTCTCAATGTGACAGGAAAATACAGCGGATTAGGGCCAGGGTCATGTGCCGGCGAGGTTTTGCTCGCCACACACTTTTTTCGCCGAGGCGATGCTTCCACCGGTATCGGAAACGGCGTTAGACATGGCATCCTCCCGGAATGAGTTACATACTGTTGGTTTCAGTCGTCCACACCCGTCCATCCAGATGATACTTATCAACGAGACGAGGGTGTAGGAAACGACCGAAAAGACTGTCCGCTGACAATCGATAGCTAGAACGAACCTAGTGAACATCCTGTCCATGGGCAAACGCGGTTCTGGAGTACGGAGCCGCGTCTGTAGGGATGCATCCCGGACATGACCCAGGCCCAAACAAACCACCAAGCGTTCATTGCCCTTGGTGGACGAAAGTGGATTGCACCCTGTATCAGTGTGCAAGGCAAAAAACGTGCGCGAGGCACTGCGCCGAGAATGCGAACCCGACAGGATCTCGCAGCAGTAAGTCGATCACATCTCGGGTTGTGGTCCGTCACTGACCTGCCTCTGCCGACAATAGTGTTTTATTGAGCGGTAATATTTTTTCTGGATACGAATTCCCCAACGCTGGGTGCATTAGCCCGTCATGGGACACAAGAGACAGCGGCACTCCAAAGGATACTTCGTTCCATATACAGAGAGGGCGTCACTTCCTTCAGTATAAGACCGACGACACTCGAACGTACTTCCGTCAAGCATGTTCCCCATGAGACAACAAGCCAGAACGTGTGAAATGCTGTACGTGCTCGCTAGCGATTCCGCCAACCATGTACACCAAAACGCCAAGATAATTAATTCAGCCGGCAAACTGCGGTACACAGACACTGACAGCAGACGGCGGAGCAACCTCTACATTGTCACACTCTCAACGCACACGTCATGCCAGAAAGTATGACAAAGCGAAAGACAAAAAACGTTCCTATCAACACCCTCTCTCGTTCCACATGCCCAGTGTCAAGAGACTACAGCCGCCCAATGTCAAGAGCCTACAGGCGGAGCAATGTTCACCTTGTCAACAACACACACACGTCATGTCAAAATGTCAAAACAAGAAACACCAAATGTTTTCTCATCAGCACCCTCCGTCGCAAAATTCACCCGGGTACAGAGGCAACCTACCCCAGAATCTAACAAAAATAATCACTCATGATTCAGTCCTCCAGCACTTAGTCAGGAAGACTGGCATGCTGGCAAAATAACATCTGTTGAGTACCCACATGTACACTATAAACACTTTGCACAGTGAAACAAAGAACAAGACGAAGCAAGAGCAGCATCAGCACCACACCATCCTGCAACAAATGCTCCACTACTCTTCATCTCCCTCCTGCTCGTTGCCCGGGTTCTCGCGGTTCAACCTCCCCAACAACGGAAGCTTGCTCGGGAATGACCCCGTCGCCGAAGTGCCTACGGAGTACGCCACGGCCGCCAACAACGCCACAAACACAACGTCCGACCCCGCGTTCGCCAGAGGCGCCAGCTTCACAGCGTCCGCCCCCAACACCGCCCCCGCGATCGCACCCACCACCCCCGGCAAGATCAGAGCGATGTCCACGTTGATGGCCTGCTGCGTGTTGAACCTCACGAGCTTGTTGACTTGCGGGTTGCGGAGCCGATGGACAGGCTGAAGAAGCCGATCAAAGTCGCGAACGACAATGACCGCAGCGTCAGCAGCACAGCGGCCAGTGGCTGTGCCCACGCCGTCTGCTCCGGGAACACGCCGAACAGGTGGGCGGCGAACACGATGCCATCAGCCAGGGGCAGCAGGTACGGCAGCGCGGACAGCGCGTTGTCGGCGGTATTGACCAGGCCGTCGTTGACATCACCGGGAGACACCACCACCGCCCCCGCGTCCGGCCTCATGTTGTCGTCCATCTGGCGCTGGCGCTCCTCCATGCGCGCCAGGCGCTTCTCCTCCCGCTGCTGACTGAAAAGGTTCTCCAGCCTCGTCCTGAGCTCCTCCGTGGGGGCGAACTCCGACTGCTGCAGCAGGCCATTCCCGTTATGGTCGTAGGTCTGGATGAGCTTGAGTGCGAGCTCGTCGGGGAAGAGGGTACCTCCCGGGAGACCGGCGATGCGTTCGTCTGCCTGAGATGTTATGAGAACAACGGGGATGAAGGGTAGGATTGGGAGGAGGGAGTGCGGTGAGAGTTGTGCGGTGATTTCGGGCGAGGTAGGTGTACAAGACGGGGTGATAAGTTGGAAGAAGGATAGCGAGAACCTAAAGCTTGTAAAGTCAAACCAACACAACATCACTTTATCAACCAACACCTAGGATGGTTGAACCATACAATAGCCACAGTAAGGAGCCGCGGGGCCCGAAGCGCGACCGCTCTGTTCCCTCCGTCCCGGGAGGGAAAAAGAAGGCTCTACCTACCAGGGGCCCAAGTTCGCAATTCCGGCCGCCTGAATATGCCCTTCTTTTCGACCAGAACGAGGTCTATAGAGCAGATCGGCGATCTGCTGGCTTCTGAGGAGGACGAAAAGTAGGCACACTTTACCACACGGTTTGGTCGTACTCCGACAGTAAATGGCCGTGCTTCACAAGCATTTGTTCCCGAAAACCATAGAAGATACTTACCCTGTCCCTGGGGAGTTGTCAAGGTAACGGAGGAACAGGAATTCGGAGATCTCTCTCACATATACACGCAGTCACGAAGTTGGAACAGAGCAAGCACTCAGCCAAACACGTAGAACCGCTGGGAGGGGCAAGACAGCACTGGCCGGGGGACGCAATGCGGTCCAAATCAGCGAATATGACGTCTAAACAACGGACAGTCCCGCCAAGACTCAGGGCAACGGCAACAGCAACTACCAACGCAACGGTCTGAAGGCTCCACCGCTGAATGCCTCCTGATCCAGCGAACATCTGAGTCTAGAAAAATCGAGAGACCCGTCTCTCGCCCCACCGTGTCCACTCTCCTCCACCACCACCAACCACCACAGCAACCACCGGCCGCTCCAACAACAATCTGCCAACACACACAAGGACGTTTCCGACAAACCCACCGGACGTCTACAGCATGGCACCCCTCTCAGGAACCATGATCCCCCTCCGGGCCCTCTCCCTGGGCTCCACCACCGCCTGTGTTGCCCCCGCCGGTCATAGCGCCTCGTGGTCCTTGACCAGCCCCCCAGCGTCCCGTCAGGTCATGCACATCGACCGTATCCCCGCGTCAAAACGCCCGCCGCCCGTCATCAGCAGCAACACCGACATCTTCTCTCCATATGGTGAGCGAGGTCGCGGAGCAGAAGGCGGCCAAGCTCCGAGAGACCGTGGCCGTCTTTCGCGCGCAAGCACAGGAGGTGGAGGAGAAGCAGGCGCGAGAGCAAAGCGAGAACGCCGAGCTATCTTTCAACGCCTTCCGACTCCAACAAGGACGGATCGGTGGACATATCTGAGCTCAAAGCAGGACTAGAGAGCCCGCTGCGTCGGAGCTTCACGAAGACGCTGCAGGCTCGCATGGGGCGGAAGCCGTCGAAAAAAGAGGTGAGTCAAAAGAGCACTGGCAGTGATCGGGTTTCGAGAAGTATTGACACTGCTGTGTCCATACCAGCAGGTTTAACGTTTTGGTTGAGTGAGCCACTGTCAAGTTTCAGGCATTGTAGATGACGGTGGCAGCAGCGAGTTTTGTTCGTTTCCGATCATCGGCCTAGACTATGCAATGCACACTCCACCATACTACCGTGATGTTCCCTTTTGTTTCCTTCTTGTCCAATAGGCGCTTTGGGCACCACCTCACACTTGAGAAATCGTCCACGTCAAACTCTGCATGAAACCCGCTTGCTCGGCATACTCTACACAACCAATGCACCATGCCGGACCCGTGTCCCCGTCGATGGATTCGCGACTCTTCGCCGCTTCTCGCACTTTTGCTGTTGATGTAAGGCTACGTAAGCCATGCCCTGGAGGCTAGTTGGTTGATAAAGTGATGTTGTGTTGGATTGTCTTTGAATCAAGCGTTGGGTGGTCGCCATTCTTCTTCACCTTATCGCCCCATTGTACACACTCATTCGTTACTGCCTCGCCCGAATTACCGCACAACTCTCACCGCACTCCCTCCTCCCAATCCTACCCTTCATCCCCGTTGTTCTCATAACATCTCAGGCAGACGAACGCATCGCCGGTCTCCCGGGAGGTACCCTCTTCCCCGACGAGCTCGCACTCAAGCTCATCCAGACCTACGACCATAACGGGAATGGCCTGCTGCAGCAGTCGGAGTTCGCCCCCACGGAGGAGCTCAGGACGAGGCTGGAGAACCTTTTCAGTCAGCAGCGGGAGGAGAAGCGCCTGGCGCGCATGGAGGAGCGCCAGCGCCAGATGGACGACAACATGAGGCCGGACGCGGGGGCGGTGGTGGTGTCTCCCGGTGATGTCAACGACGGCCTGGTCAATACCGCCGACAACGCGCTGTCCGCGCTGCCGTACCTGCTGCCCCTGGCTGATGGCATCGTGTTCGCCGCCCACCTGTTCGGCGTGTTCCCGGAGCAGACGGCGTGGGCACAGCCACTGGCCGCTGTGCTGCTGACGCTGCGGTCATTGTCGTTCGCGACTTTGATCGGCTTCTTCAGCCTGTCCATCGGCTCCGCAACCCGCAAGTCAACAAGCTCGTGAGGTTCAACACGCAGCAGGCCATCAACGTGGACATCGCTCTGATCTTGCCGGGGGTGGTGGGTGCGATCGCGGGGGCGGTGTTGGGGGCGGACGCTGTGAAGCTGGCGCCTCTGGCGAACGCGGGGTCGGACGTTGTGTTTGTGGCGTTGTTGGCGGCCGTGGCGTACTCCGTAGGCACTTGGCGACGGGGTCATTCCCGAGCAAGCTTCCGTTGTTGGGGCGGTTGAACCGCGAGAACCCGGACAACAGCTGGAGGGAGATGAAGAGTAGTGGAGCATTTGTTGCAGGATGGTGTGGTGCTGATGCTGCTCTTGCTTCGTCTTGTTCTTTGTTTCACTGTGCAAAGTGTTTATAGTGTACATGTGGGTACTCAACAGATGTTATTTTGTCAGCATGCCAGTCTTCCAAGCTACGTGCTGGAGGACTGAATCATGTGTGACACATGTGTGTTTGAATGTCGGATACTGGTGTAGGTTCGTCCGTGTCAGGGTGAAATTGACAGACGGTGCTGATGAGAAAACGTTTTGTGTTTCTTGTTTTGACATTCTGACATGATGTGTGTGTGTTGAGAGTGTGGACAACTTGAACATTGCTCCGCCTTATACTGTCAAGAATCGATGTATTATAGTTCGGCATTACATTATGTTGGCATTGGACGTGCGGAATAGTGCAGCTGGTGTATGGCCATGTGAAAGAGCTGTGGTGGCTGGTTAGCAGCATTGTTAGCAAAGAATGTAGTGTATGCTTCACAATTTTCGGGCGGGAAAATCTTCTCGTCGGGGGCATACGTGTCGGACGTACGTCATTCCTGCTACGTATGTTGTTGGTGTTCCGATGTTCATCTTGTCTTTGATGCTGATGAAAATTGTTGTTGCGTCGTTATTTTTGCTTTTTATCCTTTGTTCGGGTTCGACTCTGTACCCGGACGTTCGGCTCACAGTCACCGAAGGTTTCCGACTGATGCAGGTTGAAACGTCGGGACGTGTCCGTGGCTTGAACTTGCAATGGTTGTAGCAGCATGCGTGATGTCTGTGAATATCGGTGAACTTCATTGATATGACATTTGTTTACGGGTCTTGATGATCAGTGGGCACCACAAAATCGAGCGTTTCATCAAGCCCTTCTATGGTGTGGTCGCTCCCGATGGGGGTGCGCTGCTTCGAAACGCACGAGCATGATCTTCATGACCGTGATGAGAGTTATCATTTCATTATGCATCACCTCGGAATCACGCCGTTGTCGGGGTTCGCAAAGAGCGAAGATAGACTGGCTGATGAAACATTTTGCCACTCCCCCGCGATCAGATTTGAGGCACTCTCTTCGTCCACCCAACGTTGGAGACGACTTACAGGGTCGACTGAACCCACAACTACGCAAGACGAAGTAGATCATGTGCTTGGTTCACTATTTTGGCAGAGTGAGTCACCATACCCTCTATTGTCCAACACTTGCCGTTGTGCCCAATTGTCACGATGTCCGCCTGATGAGCACGATGTTCACAGCAATCGAGGTAGCCCGGATGGAGTCTCAACTCGGAAGGATCACCTGTCGAGAAATACCTCGATCATTCCTTAGCTTGTCGGTAGGCGGAGTGAAAGACGGCGACCAACAATATGGAAATCAAATTTGGGGAAAACATTGCTCCGTACGTGAGAGAAAATCGAGACCACTTCAAATAACAATATCGGAATGAAACATTGCGAACTATATGTTTGGTCGGGAAAATAATAAACGACCAATCAAGCAAATTGTCACGTAGAGAATCGGAAGGTGACGCATTCGGTCATGCATCATGCGTTCATTCCTTAGGGCCCTGTCAACACAAATTGCCGTTAGCTGTATGGCCCTAGAACAATATTGCTTTCAAACATGATGATATTGAACTCTCAGAGAAAAAAGAGCCGTATGTACGCATGTGTGTCTGACTGATGGTGGTGTGTGAACCCTGTATGTCCCCGGCGGATACTCCGCGTCGAAATATGAACATGTAAAATATGAGTACGTAGTCAGTCTGGGACAGCCACGAACAGATGCCTCGAGCTTCTTGCAAAATATGAGGTTAATTGCGGGCGCCATCTGTAGTTCATTCGGGAGTGGTGAATCGTCGGCGATCTCGGCCGCCCCTATCGGGCACTATTCCTCATGGTCCAGCCTATGCGACATATGGGAGCATGTCCGTTCAACGACATGCTACTGACTCCTGTAGGTCTAAACGCGCGAGTGAGTACCTAGTGAAATGTCCAAGAATCCCGCCCACCATGTACGCAAGATGATGCTCATACAGGTGAGGGTCAGAGAAGGCGACCGTGTGTGTCGTCGAAAAGTGTAGCCGATGAATTCGCAACGTGATTAATTTAACCTCGAAGACATTCAACGGGGGCCATGAATCTTGTTTTCGGCTGTTCGATTGCGCAACCCTCTCGGTCGGGCCAGGTACAGTAAATTGCTCGATATTTCGAGTCATCCGACAGCTCGGACTCATCGCACCCCTGTGCAATAGTTGTTCATTGGGTAAAATACTACATTCGATCTCGTCACAGGGTTCGGAGTTATCGTGCGATGACTCACAGGTGTGCGATGGCTCACAACAGAGGGCAGTTGAGTGCCAGCGGTCCCGGGGCGATTATTACCCCTGACACCATGCTCGTGCCGGCGTGTTAGCTACGTAGTGAATAACATGATCGTCAACCACATGTGGAGGTATGAAGGAGATGAAAACATAGGGTTCCAATTGTACCGGGATCAAAAGCATTGCCCTCAGGGTCATGTTCAGCATCACACAACGGTGTGTGTCATACGAAGTCGATGTCGACGCAGCGCCCGGCCGGCATATTGTACTGCAAATGGTTGATATTTCGACAGCACGGGGGTGCCATGACTCACAATCTTTCGGCAAAGACGCATTTGTTGAGTGGAATCACAGGGAAGGATGTTTCGAAGGCATGTAGGATACGAATGAAAAAAGAGTTCAAAAAGCTCAACTTTGCATAGCGGAAAAAGTAAGTGCACGTTTGGTTGGCTGTTTCGTTTTCTGTCCCCAAGAGATGTTATCTTCATTTTGCCGAGACCGGCGGAGGAGCGACATCGCTGCATACTGCGGTGAATGGATGAGCAATTCACAAACAGTTAAGTCACTGAGAGTACACCAACAACATCGACACCACACGGGTGACAACATCAAATGTTCCTCGGCTTCAATCTTTTGCTGCCTAGGTCTTGCTATCATGTCTGCACCTACTCTCGAATATCGAGGTGTATCGGTAGGAAACCTGATCTTGAACGTGGAGAATGCGAGCACGTCCTTCCTGGCCGACGCTTTTTTCTCGAGATCGTGCGACCCGAAGCGTTGTGGGAGTTACTCGTCCTTCATGTTTTTTTCGCCATCCGCTCAAAGTGTGCTACCAGGCCGTCATAGTACTCCAATCATTCGGAGAATGTCCGCGGCAACCTCTCATCACGACTACATTGCGTACTGCTCCCGGAAGAGGGAATATCAGATTCTACCTAGCCCACAGATCGGCTAACCGTGTCCTTGGTCTTAGACGTGGAGCAAGCCGCCGGCGGTTTTGCCTGGCACAGCATCCACCACCTCAGAGTTAACACGTGCCCGCAGTTACACCCACAGGGAAGACGTTCGGAGCACGGTTGCGCACACCGTTACTGCCGAGACATACAATATGCGCAGCTCAAACACACCAACAGCTTTCGACGAAGATTCGCACCGGACTGTAATCCATGCCTGCAGTAGGTCTCGCACAGTCCTCCCGTAAGTTAAAGAAAACGACGCGCCTTGAAGTACCTTAGGTGACGTAAGATACCACACCCCCTGATCTGATTTTCTATTTTTCTTTTTTCTACACCATGAAGAGCGGCAGTGCCGAAAATACATTGTAGCGGCGTCGGAACCGTCTCCTCGATAGGTTTACGAAACCTTCTCGTCGGAGTTACACATTCTCTTGGTCGTGGAGTAATGGAGCTGTCAAAATCGATCCAGAAGGTGTGATATCTCATGGTGCCTATGAGCACGAAAGTGTTTCTACAGACATGTACGGGGCCGCGTTCAAGTGCTCGCCAGCCACGTGTATACGCGTGAAGATACAATATGACAAAAGTCAGAGCTACAAGAGAAAAGGGGCAGACGATGTCCGTTGCCACGCGTCTTGATCCATTGGTTCGGATTTCGGAACAGAAACGATCGGCGGCGTTTTGGTTCACACACCTGGCTGGCGCAGGGCGTTGAGGCCGACCGAAGTTGCAGCGGCCCGGAGGCCCGGCGAGGAGAGAGCCCCGCCGCTTGTTCTGTCTCTCACGAGCTGACGAGAGCAGCCATGCTTTTGCTCCGGGCCCTTCCTCCTCTCTTGGTCGGACCCTCCTTCTGCTATGCGTTCGTCGCCCGTCCCTTCGTGGCGTATCCCAAGCCCCCCCATGTTGTGTCATCCTCCCGACATCATCGCGCTATCGCCCCGCATCAGCCCAACATGAACATGAACCAACCAGCAGAGGTACCCGAGAAGCTGAGACAAGCAAACCTGAAAGCGCATATTGAGGTCTGGGACAGTAGGCGGGACATGACGAGAGCCACACTCTCCGCTGCAAAGGCTCTGCGAGGCGCTCGGGAATCGATAGCGGTGGAGGATGCCGCGAAAGCCAGCTTGGTGGAAGATGGCAAGGGCTCGCTGGTGATTTCCGCCATTGCACTAGCGGTTGCAGCAGCAACGCTAAGGTTAGGGGGCCGGGCTGCGCTTGTTTCGGTGAGGAATCGTACGAGCCGACACCACCTTTGTGTCTGACGCGCCCCATTGTAAGCGTTTATCGTTGTGTCTGGGTACCTGCTGCTCTGTCTATTGCTTTTTTTATTTGTCCACCAACACACTTGATCTCGCTTTTGCTGTTGCCTTTTTTGTACGTCTGGCTGTCTGCCCATCTGCCGCCTCTTTGTCCTGTTTGCTCATGTACTCCCATGCCCTGGTGCGTAGTGCCTGGTGCTGGTACGTTACCCT